CAGTTATGCTTTCTCGACATAAGCTCAAGGAAACAACATAAATGCTGCCGTGTAACCTTTAACCGAGAACCTTAATGGGGGCTCTCGGTTTTATAAGGTTAATTAAATTCACTGCTTATAGTCTTGACCTAACACAAACACACACACACACGAGAACATGCACTCCTTTTCTCATACAGGTAATCCTCTGACTCACATGCACACTTCTAATGTGTGAATTATTCCATATAATGATGACCATTGCCCTTAGGGTTTTTTTTTGGTTTCTCCTGCACATTTGTGACATCTATTCTATATATTGTATGTTTTTTGTTCTACTCTTGCACGGGTTGTTTCAGAGAGCCTGATTCAATGGCTGACATTCCTGCAGAGATAATTGCTATTCCAGCATTAGCAACAGCTGCATACACTGCGAAACAACTCAAGGACGGACTTATCAAAAAGCCGGTCCAAAAGAGAGTCTGACAATATATAAAATAATCCTTTAGCTCTCTGCTAACCACAGTTATGACTTCAAGTTCTCGTTTATGTAGCTAACGTTAGCTGGAGCCTCGAATCACAGTGTGTCCTTCACCTCATTCCCCGCTTCTACAGACCACCTTGCCTGAAGGAGAACAGGCAGCAGCTCTGGAGATGGACCCCAGCAACCTGAATCCAGCCATCACAAGCCTCAGCTCTGGGGAATGGACACCCCTGGCTCCTTGCCTGATCAGCAAACTTTCTGTTGCTGCGGTTACAGAGGGACATCTGGCGCTAGGGGGTCAGCACTGGCCAAATTTGAGCCACCAACCAAACGTTTATGACTCCTGAGCCGATGCCTGCTCTCCTCACAGCCAAGCAATCCACAGCGGCAGGGAGCAAGGTGAAAGGACCACACATATGTCTGTGGTCGTCTGGTGGGAGGGGCTTACAGGACAGAAAGGAGAGCTGCAGGAGGAGGATGTATTTTCTTTTTTCTTTTTGCCTTTTCCAGATTTCTGCCTACCCCAACTTCAAACTAGTTGTTCCAACCTGTTTGGCTCATGTCCCCTTACAAAAAAAATCAGTGTGTAGTTGGGGCCCCTGATCACATTTTAGATAGCTAGTCTAGCAGTTAGTTTCCCCATTAAACTTTTAGTAGTTAAAACTAGCTCCACCTTGAAAAGCTACAACAGTAAAATGCTGCTTACACATTGTATCAGTATTAGATCAGTAGCAATCAAATAATGTCACATATAATAATACTATATCTGCAACGGGACATTTTACTGCAAACAGTACTTTTAATTTGGATACTAAGTACACTGTGCTGGCAATGCTTCCGTGCTTTTGCTGAAGTATGGTTTTGAATGCAGGTATTACTAATAGAGTGTTTTTACAGTGGTGTATTAACACTTTTACTTGTACTTCTTCCCCTACTGAATGCATCACATAACACAAGGCACACTTAAACAAACAGACGTACAATATTATGCTAAACAGAAGCAGTAGATGATGCATTCAGCTGTTCTGAAGCCTCCACAAAAGGGCACCGGGGCCTCATCTGAGTCTGAGTATCAGCCCCTAAAAGTCCTCCTTGGTAATCTCATCGTGTGCTGCCCACATCATGAATCAATACTGAGTGGCAGCGGTAAACAATAGTCATAGCTTTGACCAATATGCATCTTATTTGAGGTGGCATTCAGATAAGAGTTGATCTTGATCTGCCGACCATTATGCTTAGAGCTCTCTAATACTTAATTTACGAAGCTGCATCACACTATGCAACGTGATACAGGCTCATCATCATGGCAACTGGTATCACATAAAGGACAGCAGATGGTGTTTTCATTAAAGAATTCAAGCTGATAGAAGAATCAACCGATTGACTTTGTGTCGGAGTCTCTGATGCACTTATCATATTACATTAAGTTCTCTAGCTGCCGGGAAAAAACACACACAGGCCAGTGTCAAAAGGGATGGCTGACACACAGCAGCTATCTGACGTGTTTTGGAAATGCTACAGTGTTCCTGTAACACCGTGCACAGTCATGAGCATGATCCCTCACTGGAGACTGCGAGCTGAGCATGTCCAAATAATGCATCGGTAGTATTACAACCAATAATCCATGCAGCGCTGTAACGACCAGCAACGAGAACACAGCCATGACAAATGGCTGACAGCTGGAGCTAACAGTCACCTGCAGACCCGTGAACGAGGTCTGGCGTCTAAGTTATCTTCATTACATTTTAGCTCCAACACATTTTCCTATTTTATGTGTGCAGATGGAAGCCTTTTTGTTTTCAGTCTGACATCTCCTCTGAGCTCCACGGCCAGTCTGTTAGTCTTCATTTTTAATAAGCTGTCACATATATTTCCCCTTCTTACAATATACTGTGTACAATGCTGCTTTTGTAAAGATTTATGATGACCCGAGCCTTTGCAGTCAGTGTAGCAGCTGCCATTATTTAATGGTCAAAACAATTTCACTCATAATGTTCTGTTCCTTTTTAATTAGCTGACATTAAATCAGTCACAGTCAGGTTTTGATGTATCAGCTGTTTGAAAAGGCGACAGCTCGTGCTGAGTGCAGCAGGACTTCTAATACACAGCAGCGTGAGCCTATAGAGGAAGTGTTTGCATTTTGCGCTTTTTATAGCCGCCGCTCTGCTCCAATGCACCCATGTGACAGCCAAATTGTTAGCAAGGAGTTTGGAGAACAGAATGTCCATTGTGTTTAAGTCCAATAAAATATTGAATTATATCTGTGGTTAAAACTGATCTGATCTGGGGGCCTCTATGGGCTCTCAAATCATGATATCCTATTATTGTGTAACATCATGAAATGCCATGTACTTCTACAGCTTCCTCTCTACTTGTGATAAAACTGTTACAGGAGAATTTGGATTTGGATCATTTACATGCACATGTGTTTCCCATAAATGTGTCCATTGTGACTCCCTACTATAAACTGTATGAAATAATGGATGTAGCAACCATGACGTCACCCATTGGTGTGTGGACTTCCAGTTGAAGCCTCAAGTTTGGAATTTTGGCTGTCATTGTCTTGGATTTTTGAAACCAGAAGTGAACACATTTGGACAAGAGAGTGGCGCTAAACCTAGCGCTAGCTGCTAGCTCGGTTAGCATGGTGCATTTACAGCTAGCTATAGTTAACTGTGATAATGCTAATTTTTGCTAGCAAAAACAGGCTTACAGACATTAAAACAAAATGTAGGACATCCTATAGAGTCTTTTAGTACAAACATATGCTGAGCAAGAAATTAACTTTCATGAACTGAAAACACACTGAAATAGTGACAACTACGGCCACGCCTATACTACACCATGGTTACGTTACCTAAGTTGTTGCTGTGCTAGCGACTTATCCAAGAGTCCCCCAAAGTAACCCCATCTTTCATCATGCATTACTTTAAGCCTTAATAACATTTAAATGGGTGAGGTATATAAAAAGTCACCCTTTGAACAGTTGACATGAACATTGAAATTAGGTATAGGCATCAAAACCCTTTTTGTACCAGGCTGTAAACATGCTTATTCAACACATCGACACATATCGATGTTTGGTCATGGACCTTCCATGACTGGGTGTGTTGGTTGCTGATGTTCTGGTCATGCCAGTAACTTGTTGCCAACTTCTGCCTGTCACATGCATTGTCTTTTTTAAAAATACTCTTCCATTTTCCCAGGAAGTTTACCGTTAACATACAGTCTTTCAAAATAAGTGTGTCAGTACAACACCGCAAACTGATGCTTGTTTTACTCCAATGTCCAACGCACGTGGTTAGCTTTAGGAAAAAAGAACAGAGTTTGGCTTTAGAATCCTACGGGACACGAACGCTGCTCTCCCGGGTGAAAGACGGTGTTTGTTTGACCGATCCACCACCACTCCATCCCGCCCTACTTGGACATTTGCCGCCTTGACTTTCGTTCTTGTCTTGCCGTATTTCCCCCTGATGCCACCAAAATGTTAAACTATAATGGCGACCGGCTGCGTATCATGTCGATGTTAAAGGACGGCTTTTTTGTCAGTGTCTGACGCAGCAAGTCACTGCCTAAGCGCCAGATTTTGACGACTTCAGAGTAAGTATTTCTGCTGTATAGTTGGACATTTTAACAGAGGGTCTACATGGACTGACTCACTGTTGGAGCCAGCCTCAAGTGGCCATTCACTACAGTTTCTGGTGAAGGTTGCCTCTTGTTCCTCATGCAGTCAGCCATTATGTCTGTTAGGGCTAACTGCTAGTGGGCTACTTTCTGTATTTACTTTGGGCCACACTCAGAGGCAAGCATTTGAAATGTTTCATGTAAAAAAAAAATTTTTTTGTAAAGCTTGGCTCAATTTATTCTGGACCTTGGAAAAAGCTGCTGATATTTTCACCTCTAGGTCCATTTAGTAGCTACTCTAAAGTGTCTGATGACATGATCTTCATAAGCAGAGGGAATTGTCATATTTAAGATGTTGAATTTCCCCTTTATTTCTGAGCACCTAAAGGACTTGTCATCCATGTTAACGTTTTGGTTGAAAAAATTTCAAATTCCCTGACAACTGGGGAGAATTAACCTGCCGATGACAATCATGAGATATATCTGAGAGCTCCAGAACACAGCTGCTAAATGGATCTTGAGGTGAGACAACTTTTAGACCAACATGGAACAAACGTGCTCAAAAATAAATCTTATTTTACCACATCACCGAGCCCTGTGACACCCACTACGAAAACCACGCACAGTCTGCAGCTTTCAAACCCAAAGACAAGAAACAGAACAAACAGACAGATCACCAGTCTGGCACATGGAGATTTAGCCTGGACCAGCACCAAGATTTGAGCTTCATTACATCTACATCAAGACTTGCAACAGCTAGAGAAGCTGATTTTCAGTGCGTATGTGCATGTGTGTGTGTGTGTGTGTGTCTTGGCCACAGCAGGGAGGTCTAGCAGAGAGAAACACTGTGTATTGGCATTCTGCAGGCTGCAGGACTCTGACTGTGCGGAATTGAGCAACATAAAGGTCTTACCAGAGGAAGTGGTGAAGTCTGACTCCAGGCAGCACTGAGGAGCTGCTGAGCTCCCCCAGAGAAACACCTACAAAAACACACACACATATAGAGCCGAGTCAAGCTAATGAGCAACCGAGATCAAAATCACAGTCCAGCAACGAGTAGGTCCTCAGGAGGGCTAGAAATGATCGAAAAACATATTGCCATGGCATTATAAATTGACCTGAGCCTTTTTAAAGTTTAAAAGCTTCTCACTGACGAGGGCAAAGACATTAAGAGCACCTCCAACTCAGATATCAGCCTGTGTTTTCATTGCATTTTGAAATGGTAAGTCAGTGGAGGCAATATAAAGGAAGTCAATACGTCACAGTGAAGCACAGACACCAGTTTTAACGCCTTTTGTGCTGAGTTTGTGTGGCAGGATGTAGTCAGAACACTACATCCGGCTAATATGATATCAGATAAACTCCCACGGCAGCTTTTAAGTATTCTCTCGTGGTTGCCACATGTGGTCACAACCACAAATACAGCAACCCCCCCCCCCCCCAAACTCACACACACTGCAGTAAGGGCAGAGAAACCCAAGTATAACTTTCTTTTCCCTTTTGGACCAGCATCCCTCATATCTTTTCATGTGTGTCAGCCCCTGAAGCGCAGAACGGCATTTTGGGAGGAAAACGGCCATAAATAAAACAACAGTGACAAAACAACATGTGCAGGGAAGCAGAAATGCTCAGCGTGGACACTCGGTCTGGTGTTTTGCCAAAAATGATCAGAAGTTATGTTAAGTTTGTGGTGAAATTGCGAGGAAGAAGGAGAAAAAACAGGAGGTGTTTTGATTATGACGAGATTGAGACGGGAACGCATTTGTTTATGTCATTAATTCAGTGGAAGGACAGGGCTGGTCATCTCTCTCCGACAGACGGCAATCACTTGTAATCAGACTTAATGGGCACTCTAATGGGAATGCTTTTCCTCTCTCCGTGCTCTGTCTGTAGCACTCTGTAACACACTTGTCCACACACAAACAAGTGTGCACATGCATGTGTGCGTGCGCATATGCAGCTTAAAGTAACGGCGCACTTTTGCCTGAAAGGAAATTATTGTTTTAATAATACTGTCTATCCATAACAGTACAACATAATCAAGTCCTATTTGTATGTAATGCTAATTTACATACTTCCTTGGTTTATACTCTTCGGGTCTCATTTGCATTCATTCATTTGCAGAGGCTGGTTACAGCTGAGTCTCAGCTGGTTAAAACTCAGCTCTGTCTCCTCTCACTCTCCATCAACACTCAATATTACAGACACAGTTTACATTGCTCATTAACCCATAATCTGCTTTATTACTCTTTCTGGCAGTCTTGCGCCATCAACAGTTACGATAATATTTATTCTATTTAATGACTACTAGTAAAGGGACAAGTTTATACTGTACAACAGCGCTGCACACTACAGCATTTAAAGCCTACACTAATTTGCAGTTCCTGTCTCTTGATACGCCTTTATATTGTCGCCACTAAAGTAACTCCTAAGACCTGGAAACACATGGCACACAGTAGAATCACTACAACGAAGCAGTGCTTCCTCAACTCTTTTATAACACCAGCACCCCTTCACAGTGCCCCATCCTCATGCCAGACTGCCTGTTACACTGTTATGACAACTGAACGCTGTGAGCTGTCACACTTGTTCTAAGTGATGTTGCTGTGTTTCCAGATTTCAGCAGTTAACCTGCAGTAAAAGAAGTCTTTTTTACATGTGCCCAGATATGGTGATGACAAATGAGCAGTCACCGGTGCCCCCAAAAATTATCAGCAAATACACAACTTAGCTAACAAACAATAGTAATAAATAATTCTCCTTATTTTTTTGTACTGTGCCTGGGACGGCTTTTGCCTATTCATTTAAGTTTTTTAAAGTTAAGCATACTCTTTATTTAATAATAATAATAATAATAATAATAATACACTGGATTTATATAGCACTTTTCAGGATACTCAAAGACGCTTTACAGAGAACAACAACAACAATCCAAAAAACCCCAACAAAATCCATGGGGAGGTAGCGAGGGAAACAGTCCAGAAAGGGCGAAGTACACTGAGTTTTGAGGTTGTAGGCATTTAGAATATCTTCACCTCCGATAGAAAACTGACGCCATTATCTCAAAGCCACCAGACTCCATTATCAAAAACAGTAATAATAGCCCTTTTTAAACAGGAATTGTGCAAATTTGCAGGAAAGCCCAATCAGTCTTTTTTCAGCATTGGCAGTATAAAAACAAAATCGGGGAGTGCAGCAAAATGCCGCCTACCTACTTTGGTTTATACAGAATGTGCCTTTTCGGGGCAATGGAGGGCGTGAGCAAGTAACAAAACGTGTAGCTCAGCGTGTGACGTAAACAGTGACGTGGGAGGGAAGCCACGGCTGGTCAGTCCTTCGGCGATTCTTTCGTAAGTCGGCCCGTTCTTCACCGTCCCCGTCATCTGACGGTTAATGGCCTCTTCGTTTGTGAGGACAAGGAGGGCGCGCAATTCCTTGTCTCCCCAGTTGCTCATCTTTACAGTGTCTGTCAGGTTTGTGTTTCCCTCTTGCTACTAGTTGCTCGCTAATTCCTGCTATCAGCTGTTTCCTGTTTATCCACCACCAGTGGGTCGCATGTGCGGCGTCATCAACAGCTCCTCCCACAAGTCATCAACAGCCCCTCCTGTTGCAGAAGGCCGCCTCGGTCTGTGTAAACTAAAAAGGTTCCGCCAATATGTCTACCCTACGAGGCAGAAAATTGGGCACCTCGGATCAACTCATCAATCCACCTCTGTGTGTCTGAACGCTCGCAGCTTGTCGGCAAAACGTCCCAACATTCGCCGAAAATCTGGCAGTGTAAAAGGGGCTAGTGATTCTCAGAACAAAGGAGTTGCTGGTCTAACACCACCTCCATCAGACAGTGTGTAAGTAAAATATTCAAAATATAGCATAAACTTAAACTGAAATTGATTTTTTGGGTGGTTAAAATGCATTTTTCTGTGGCCCCCATCCACAACAGCACATCGTTTAGCTCCCCTGCTGGTAGATTTAGTTTATCGAAGACGCTAGTAAGGCAACACAGATCATAAACTAAGCACAACAGAAACTTTGTTTAACTATAAATCTTTAAATGTTGGTGAAAAATGACGACAGAAATAAACAGGTTTGCTGATTTCACCCATCTCCGCAATTTAAAATCAGTTGCCCGTTGTCTACCTGGATGATTACTGTTGGCAGCATGATGTCAAGGCGATATTAGTCTATATTCTATTTTCCATTTTGTCATTCTGTTGATCTCCTCTGTACACACGACATCTATTGCACGTCTGTCCTGTCTGATCCCTCCTCAGTTTCTCCTCCTGAGGTGTCGACCATATTTTTTCCACGTTAAAGGTTTTTTTTTGGGCGAGTTTTTCCTTATCCGCTGTGAGGGTCCAAAGGACAGAGAGATGTATGTATACACCAAGATATGCTGCAATGTGCCAATTAACGCAGGCAGGAAGAAGACGCAAGCTCGTAAACAGTGATGTAAAAAACACCCTGAGTTTTAAATACTTGAACAACTTTTGTAAATGTTTCATGATGTTTGTGAGTTACACTGAATATAAAGATAACTTTTGTTTGTTTACAGGAAAACTCCACAGGGTCCCTTTAAGAAGCCGAGGCAGACATTTTCACATTACCACTCTGTTGACAGGAGGTTTGAAATGCACCATTTTGTGGTGTGAAAAACACTTAAGGCTGCGTATTTGTCGAACCTGTCACTATATTCTGAAAGAAGCACATAAGACAGAAAAAAATCATGTCTCTCCTCCTTGTCATGCTGCCTCTAATGGCATTTGCAAGAATGAGACTGCATCAAAATCAACCTATGAGAGCAGAGGAGTTTCTAACACAGCTGTCAATTATGTCAATCACAGCTTGTTAACTGTGGTCAGATTTAGGCAGCACTGATCAGATGTGAAACAACCAAGCCACCATGTTGGAAAGAGTTGAGCCAAAAGATTATCTGTCTCGTTTAGTGCTGTGGAAATGTAGTGACAGTGATTTTCTGTAAAAGTTACCAACTACAGCTTTGACAATTTAAGTTTTTAACCTTCTTAACAAGTCCATATGATGTTTTTTTTAATATATATATTTAAATATGCTGCGAGACATATCATGAACAAAATAAGCAGTTAATTAACGCTAAGCATTCCCTCTTGGAGCTGCAGTGTACCAATGACAATCTCAAAAACACAGATTCTGACAGCCATGGTTTTATATGTCACATATCTAATGAATCAATCCCATACAGCTACAGCAAAAGGAGGGGTATCAGAGGAGAAGCAAGGCAGGCTATGTATGCTGCCAGGAGAAGTCTGAAGAAGGCAAACTTCTCTCGTGTGCGACCTATCTGCATTTTGCCCCGTTTCCACTGAGCAGTCCGGTTCAGTTCAGTGCGTTTTATTTCCGTTTCCGCAGTGAAAAGTTGTGGATGGTACCAATGGAACCGTTCTGTGTTGTCCCCATGTTTGGTCCCCCCTCTGTTGGGGTACCTAGCACACAGATCTGGTACTAAAAAGGTGGAGCTGTGAACACTGCAGTCTGATTGGTCAGTAGAGGACGGTCACTCTTCTCAGGGCTGAGTTGTGTCTGGTTTTGAGGCTCATGTAACCACTGTTCATACTGTGGAGAGTTTTATTAGTGAACTGTAACTATAAAATGAAAGGGTGTTTTGCTGCCTCTCACAGCAGCTGGAGTCTGAGAAACAATAACTTCATTCACTGGGCCGACTGCCGGTGACTTTTAAGGTGGAACGTTAACTTGTAATGTTACTCAATGCATGAGTTGATGACGTGAATCAGTCAGCACACCTTAAATTTCACTGTGACAACTCTGACCATCACTTTAGTTTTTATATGACACACACTTTTAGTAATGAGTGGATCTTCAAACTTTTATATACATTACTTTCTACCAAGTTAAATGAACTGCATATATTCTTATACTCTGGAAAAAAAAGCTTTGTGGAGCGTCATTCCTGTGGGCTATGGCAACACTAAACTCCTGAGCTTGC